GAAAAAGTCGGCGGCAAGTTCGGGATGTACTGGATCAATCGATCGGGTCACTTGGTCCCCGCCGATAACCCAACTGCCATGCAGTACGTCCTCAAATCTGTGACCCAGTACGACAGCCAAACCTCCTAGTAACTTATCTTAAATTGTATTTAAGATTAAGGTACCCCAAATAAACGAACACATTTTAGCATACCCTATATTTGAACTGAAGTCTTGGAATACACAACCTACACCAGATGCCCACTTTCAGTATTTTCTGCTGACGTCTTAGCCGACTGCAAAGCTGATATGTATTGTGGGTGGGTCTTATAGCTGGGGGTCAATGTTTACTTTATAGCAGCGAATAAATAAATTCGATTTCGTTTAGAGGTCCAGAGTACAGGTATCAGACCGCAGACACAATGGCTCTTCCACCACATCTCTCAGTTGTCTTAATTTTATTGTAAACTTTATAAACAGGGTATTCAAAGAGAGTATTTTTTTCAATATAATTAAACAATAGGTCTGGAAATGAATTTAATATATTATTCAAAATTTGTCTTAAATGCAGTTTTTTTTGTTACAAAAATTTTATTAGGTGTGGTAAATAAAATTAGGGGATAAACAAAAAAAGGGTATTTCACCTTTCGATCACCACATACATTTTCAATGTTAGTGTTCATCATGTGTTTTTCCAAGTTTGTATAATTAGCTAGCGGCCAAAAGCAGCGTCAGATCATTGCGCATTTCCCGTCGGATCGGACTGTTTAGTTCCACTTTCTTTTCCATTGAATTGTGATCGCGGTATGCAGATCAATCTGATTAAAAATATTATTTGGGTGTGTGCCCTATGTGTTTTCCTATCGTTGACTTGCGTGCAAGGTGGGTACACCTTTAAGAAAGAGTGGTGATAAATGTTTCAGAGAAAAAGTTCTTCAAATTGAAGTTGTACAACAATTTTTAGTTACAAGGTTGTTATTTATTAAAAGTGTGTACAGTTCTCTTCAGAACTAATATACGGCTATAGGGAAACATATCACAAAAAAAAGTCTCGTAGAGCCAAGTGATAATTTTGTGAAATGTCTGAGACTTAGTTATATCGTTTTAGGACGCGTTGGTCTGGGACCCGGAGTTGAGGAGTGGGACTACGTGGAGGTCCGCGAGGGCGCCCACCTTTTCTACTGGCTCCTGTACACTACAGCCAATGTGACTAGTTTCACGGAGAGGCCGCTGGTGATTTGGCTGCAGGGTGGACCCGGAGTGGCCTCCTCGGGCAGTGGGATCTTCGAGCAGCTGGGCCCCATCGACATCGAGGGCAGGGCGAGGGAAAGCAGTTGGGTGCAACATGTGAATGTGCTTTTCGTGGACAGTCCCGTGGGCACGGGATTTGCCTACGTGGAGGAACACGGCCGGTATGCCAGAAACAACCGGCAGATTGCCCTGGATCTAGTCCAGCTGATGGAGCAGTTTCTCAAAAAATACCCGGCTTTTCGAACCGTCCCCCTGCACATCTTCTCAGAGAGCTATGGCGGTAAAATGGCCCCCGAATTTGCGTTGGAACTGCATTTGGCCAAGAAGAGGGGCAGATTGGACTGCCAACTGAAGTCCGTGGTAGTGGGTAATCCCTGGACCTCTCCGCTGGACAGCGTCCTGTCGTATGCACCCTTCCTGCTCCAGGCTGGCATTGTGGATGACGATGGATACCGCAGAATATCCCGATTGGCCGGTGAGCTAGCTGCCCTTGTTTACGCAGAAAAGTGGCTGCGTGCCCTGATGAAGGCCGCCGAAGTTCAGGAGGAGATCTCCTCAAGCGCTGGCGGCGTATTTATCTACAACACCCAGCGGCGCGTCCATGTGGATGAGGTCTACCGCTACGGTGAGGATCCGGAGATGAGCAACTTTATGCGCTTAAACGTCACTCGGGCGCTGGGACTAGCCAAAATGCCCGTGTGGATGGAACAAAATTCCACAGTCTTCGAGCGCCTCGGCCAGGATATTTTCAAACCGGCCAATCATATAGGTAAATTGAACAACAACATTTCTCGGGCTTTAAGATCTATAAACAAAAACCAATATTACTCAACTTAGAAGCTCAAAAGTCCTGTAACGAATATTTATACCCGTTACTCGTAGAGTAAAAGGGTATACTAGATTCGTCGAAAAGTATGTAACAGGTAGAAGGAAGCGTTTCCGACCCCAACAAAGTATATATATTCTTGATCAGGATCACTAGCCGAGTCGATCTAGCCATGTCCGTCTGTCCGTCTGTCCGTATGAACTATGAGAGTTACAATACTGGGATTAGGCACGCAGATTCCTGAGATTCCTGCGCAGCGCAAGTTTGTTTCAGTAGAGTGCCACGCCCACTCCAACGCCCACAAACTGCCCAAAACTGTGGCTCCTACAGTTTTGATGCTAGAATAAAAATTGAAATGTAATGTTCTCATCAATACCTATCGATTGACCCAAAAAAAAGTTTGCCACGCCCACTTTAACGCCCACAAACCGCGAAAACCTGTGACGCCCACAATTTTCATGCTAGATAAAAAATTTTAACTGAAATGTATTGGTCTCGACACGACGATTTGCCACGCCCACTCTAACGCCCATAACGCTTAAATCTGTATACCGCCGGTAGGTGGCGCATTTTAATCTCGCTTTGCTGCTTGCATATCTCCATTTAGCTGAGTAACGGGTATCTGATAGTCGAGGTACTCGACTATAGCGTTCTTCCTTGTTACGTTTTAGAAAAGGAAGATATAGCACACTGCACTAACTCCATAACCATTCCTCCTTTTAGTTGCCAGATTGCTGGAGGAAACACCCATCCAGGTGGGCATATATTCGGGAATTCTGGACCTACTTTGCGCCACGCCCGGCACAGTTAGTTGGATCCGCCGTCTAAAGTGGGCTCGTAGGTCGGAGTATGCGAAGGCTCCCCGTACCGCCTTCCGGATCGACGGGATGCTCGAGGGCTACGAAAAGCACGGAGGACGACTCAGCATGTTCTGGGTCTTTCGGGCGGGACATCTGGTACAGCAAGAAAATCCAGCGGCCATGGGGTACATTCTGAAATACTTCACTAACTATGGATGAAATACAATCGCTCGGAAATAAAGTTACAGTCCTTTCCTTACAGCAACTTTACAACTGAATGATATCTATAATTTTAATCAGCTCCTCATCACTCTTCCCCAGCTGGATGGAGTATCTCCCAAAACACTTCGTAATTAAATGCCATAATTCTCGAGTCAAGGCCACAAGTCACCCACATGGGGTCCTCGCCCAGAGACACCAGAAGCAGCAGCAGCAGCAGCAAACAATTCTCTAACAATTTACTCAAAATTAACTGAATCCCGGGACGCCTCCCTCCCAAAAACTTTCTGGCTGGGATGCGGTCGGCCGCATCACATGGACAGACATTCGTCTGGCTCAGGCAGAGCCCCTCATTGTTGGAGCGTTTTACAGGTGCACCGCATCAATTTATTTTCCACACAAAAGCCTATTAAAAGTCTTACACACTTGGGCATTGATGAGTGGCTGGGGAACTTCCCGTTTCGGGTCTGGGTAAATGTTTGCCAAATGAAACCACTTAACCTTTTTTTTCCTCCTGCCGCCGATGGAAAAATGAGCAGGCGGGAGGTTGAGTTGCAAGAAAAAATCTGCGCTGCGGCTGTCGGGACCACAGCAAAACAAATTAATTAAAAACTTAAAAGTTTGTCTACGGCAACGCCTCAATTGGATGGTATGAAGGCAACCGAGAAAAGACAAGAAAAGCCCGGATATGGGTCGATCCAGAAGCTTTTGACAAAATCCAGACAGTCTGGCAATTGATTTGGCTAAATGTGTGGCTTTTTCGGCAAATAGTCACAAGATATTCTGTTTACAACTTTGCATCTTTAAGTGCAGAAAGTTTGCAATAGGAGTTGCAGGTACTCACAATAAAAACATTAAACAAAGAAATATATTTTCATACCAAACCTAAGCACAATTGAATATTTTTAATTAATTATCAGAAGCAATTTGTTATCAAAGAACAAAAATAGCATTTCTTATTATTAAACCCTTAACTAATTTGATTTAATTTATTTTGATGGCAATCCAATTTGACAATTGATTTTAGTGGCGCAGCTCCTTACATATTTAATTTTTTCCTGCAGCGCTTTGGCAGGGAACCATCCTTCAGAAATCACTCACGTGCCTTTGTCATCAACAACTAATTAGGAAATACTTACGGGCGAGAATCACAATCGAATAGCGCAAAGGCCTCCAGTGCCGAATAGATAGATTGTAATTGGAGTATATGGTTTTTGTTCTCGCGTTCCACACGAACCGCGCTCCGTCACGTCAGGGAGCCGAGTAATTTTCACACAAGTTAACGCCACATATCGTGCATATTAATTATAGGCAAATCTAATTTGCCCTCCCTCCCACTGCGCAATCCCCCCCTTGCAGGACCTCGCCAGACGGCAGTCACGTATAAGGACCCGTCCCGCTTCAAGTATGCGGATAATGCTCCTGCACGTATGCCACAGGCTTTGAGCAGCCTGTATCCTGGGCATCCCGGGTCATGTGTGGCTGCCACGTTTCCCCCGATCCAGGGGCAGGCTATTGTAGCCATGTCAAATATTTATAGGTAAGCATGCCAAGATTTACCACGCAGCTCACAAATTGCTTCCGTCTGCTGGCTCTTTCTTAGCCCGGCCAAGAGTAAAATAAATGAAATGCCTGCTTAAAACAAAGGAAAATTCTTCGCATGAAAAATGTGGCTGCTGGATGTGGATGAGGTGAGCAGAAGGCGAGTGTAGAGCAATATTAAAGAAAGCAAAGGTGAATAAATAGGTGCTAATTAGTAAACAGTCAAAGGCAGATGTTGCCAATTCTTCAGGTTCTGGGGTGGGAACTAAATCACAAAGAGCACCCATCGAAACATCAATTTGTTTCCATCTATTGCTTTTTTTTAAGCTCAAACAATTGTAAAACTGATAAAAATTAGATTTATTTTGTATAAAACTGTCTAGTTTTGTATTGTAATGTATACCCAGAATTTATCTCAAGAAATCTTCATCAAGTCTTCCTTAATTTCAAGGTCTTCAGCGGGTCTCACATTGCCGTCACCTATTATATGCTTCACTTTCATAAAAAATCCTTTCACATTTGCAGGACTTTTAAAAATATTTTTCTTAACATTATCATTGGTGCCACTCCAGATCGTCCATTTACGCATGCTCTCTATAACGTCAGCACAGAATTTACGTTTAGAATTTAGTTCTTGAGCGGTAATGTTGTCCAACTGCTCTTGAACTTTTCCTAAGAAAAAAGTTAATATGTCATTACTGAATATTAATTTCTAACTTTACTGTACTTTATTAAAAAGTTTGAACAACATCGAAAGTGGGGATACCATATAGAAATATACTATCCAAGAAATTTAAATGACTGTTTATAAATCCAATTCGTTTTAAATATGTTTCAATGAAATCTTACTACATACAAAAATATAACTAAATATATAAGTAAAATTTAAAAAAAATAATTTCATGTTCTCGGAAATATCATTTAAAATAATTGTGTTCTTTTAACTATTTTAAAATAATACAATGCATTAAGATTGTTGCTTTTTGGCAACCATCAATAGTTTCGATTATTTGACCAACTCTCTTTTGTTAAATATTCAAAAAGGAATCTTACTTTCTTGGTTTGATTTTTGTTTTATAAATACTTACGCGTATCAAAACGCCTATGGGCGTCTCTGAAATACTCTTCCCGCTGAGACTCCTCGTACTTGGCGACAATTCCGGCGAAGCGCAAATCAGTGATCAAGTCCTTGACAACCACTTTGTCCTCGTCCTTATCATGACATAGCTCGTTGAAATTGGGTCCGGCATAGGGGAACGGATAGTAGAATTTGCCGGACTCAAAGATCTTTCGGTGTTCCCCCTTTTGGGACATCCTGTTGGCTACTATCGATAACACCCGACCGTTGTGGAATCGAAACATCATAGTGGTTATCAGTTTCTCGACCCTTGAAAGGATGCTGCAGAAAAAATATGAGTTACATTTTGAAAGTTACATATACGATTTATAATATAAATTGTATAATTTATAAACCAAATGATATTAGATGGCCCCAAAAGGTGACTCACACTGAGTTTCGCAGCGAGAATACTCCTGGTAAGGATTCGGTTTGCTTAATGTGATGCAGCTGGAGGATCACGCAGTTGACCAGGTCCTCGGCGGCAGTGGCTTGCATGCGGCGCAGATTTTGCACATCGTGGATGGTCTGCCTGTCCCGCCATCCACGGAACAGAGCCTGGATGCGGATGGCCGCCCGGTGGTAGTGCTCGAGGATTGTGTCCTGCAGCCGCTGCTCCAGCTGTTCCCACAGTGTCCTCCGAACCCGAAAGCCGCGCCACCAGCGCTGGATGGTAACTGCAGCCTTCCAGCGCTGATGGATCAGCTTTCGGACGCTGTGGCCACGCCAAAGGGATTGGATGCGACGTGCCGCAATGAAGATCTTGTAGTCGACAAGATGGACCGTTGTTCTTTTGAAAAAATAAAACAACTCTTCAGGTTCTACCTTTCTTAATATATTAAGTATTTTTAGTATCCCACCTGGACAATTTTACCGCCAAGGGCCAGTTGGCACATTCCTCCTCTTCACCATTGAAACTACGGATTAAAGAGATATCTTTTGATCACATATTTGTTATATTTACATAGTAACTTACACGAACTCGGGCTCGGAATCATTATCCAATCTATTGAAGGTTCCGGGAGGGGCAATTAAATGCATAGTCTTCATTTTGTGTTGTGTTTGATTTATGTAAATATTAACCGTGTTTTGTGTTGCAGCAACTATTAAAACAAAACCATGTGTGAAACGCAAGTGTAAGTTCAACGCATTCCTGGTGTTTATGAATTTTGAGTGTATTTCAAAAGCAACTTCGATAGGTATAGACAGAAAAGAATTTATAATATTTACATATTTCGAAAATACTGATATTTTAAATGCAAAATACGTACTCTACCTGTCGGGTCTAATGTGATATGCTCCTTCCCGGTCGTAATGCAATTTTTTGATACAATTTGGCAGCATTTTTGCATAATTTTAGCCGAAGCTAAGGCCCAGGAATATGATAATGTGTGAGAAGCTTCATATGGAAAAAATAGATTTTACTTCACGTCAACGGCAATGAAGCTTGTTTCGAGAGAAAGACTATAAAAAAAGTCAAGCGAAATTATTTTAAAGGTGAAAAATTGTGTAATAAAATGGGAGACGAGGTCCTGTGGCATCCTTGCTCAGTGCTCTTTTTCTTTTTTAGATCAACTCACCTGCGTCCCGCTTCATGCGCTCAATCAATTTTTGTAGATTTTTCCCCATATTTTTCCCACTTTGCTCCTTGGCACGGCTCACGTGTGGACTTTTATATTATTTTCCGAAGCTGCCAAAGCTGTCCTGTCTCCATAGCTCTCGCATCGGCAGTCATGATGTCGGCCTCCCGGTGCGCTGATGTGTGTCGATATTTGACACTTTATTGTGTGCACATCATCAATTTTCAAATTATTGTCAAGTACAGCGGGCAATTGATAAACAAGCTGTCGAAGAAAAATATGAAAGGGCGAAGCATTAATTCCTATGCTTTGATTTTAGTTTCTTAAAAATCTATTTCTTTGATAAATATATTTCATAGATTTAAAAAATGTACGTTTATAGAGTTTTTAAAATATTTAATAAGTAATGTTGACCTTGGCCATGGTAAGTATTAAATAGATTTAAAGAATTAACAAAAAAATATATCTTATAAGAGTTCATGTATTCATCTATTATATGGTCCTCCCTACAAAGACGGCTATCAATTTGGGAATTGTCTTTGAACAACATTTTGATAAGATTAAATTATGTTTTATCCCAAGAAATAAGGCTATGTTGAACCCTAACATAGGTATAAAACAGAATACATATTAAAGCACCTATATTTCTGTATTTGTTAACTCTACTTTTAAATATCTGCTGAAATTTATTTAACTAGCTCTCACGCACACATCCGCACACAGTCCTCGCACACTTGGTGCGCCGCAAAGTATGCAATCAATTTTTATAGCCCACATGCAGCGCCAGGCTGAGGAAACCCATACTTTTAGCCCACTGACGCCCCCAACTCCACGGGAGCCAGAATGCTGCAATGTTTCACTAATAATTTTCAATATAATCAGCACCTGCGACGACGCCCAAGCATTTGCACAAATGTTGCTAATGTACAAACATTTGTGGACCCGATCCCACTGTGGGTGGATGTGGATGCCAGTGAAAGAATAAAAAATTTGAAATGCCTTTAGGGGGCCTATCTGCAGGGGGCGGGAGTCCGGAGCGTCCAGGATGTGGCCCCATAATGCCTTTCGTTGGCGTTAATTCCACCACATGCGGTTTTGGTAAAAGCTTTAAAAATGTGTGACTACTTCAACGAAATAACAGCGATAAAAATGATTTCCTTTTTTTTCTTGGATTCATTTTTTCTTCTTCTCTTAAAAAATATCAAAGAACAAAAAGCAAACAAAGAACCATTATTTATGGAATTTCTTTCGAGTTTATTATCGCAAGGTCAAAAGTATCAGTATACATTTTTGGGATTTACCCGTGAGAGTAATCACACAGAAAGAAAACACGATTTGATATTTGCATGGTATATTTATTAGGTATAATTTTTACCATTAAATAATGTAAATTTAGTCTTAGGAAAAGTCAATCTTGGATTTCATCTGCTTGGAAATTCTGTCAAATAGAAAAAGAGAACAAGGAACCAAATATCGCTAAAATTTCTATGGGTAAGAGTTAGACAGCAATTCTCAAAATTCTCCAAAACAGAAGAAGTACTATAGTACTATAATATAATATGTAATACATTAAAAGTTATATAATATAATATAACGAAAGTAACATATAAATGATACATTACTTCATCAAAAGTAAAATCTTTTCAATTTTTTCTCTGTGCAGTGTTTAATCGTTGCAATTCTTAGAAGAGAAAAACCTCCTCTAAAAAATACGAATTGATACCATTTATTTTTATTACTAGGATTCTCCAACGCAAAGAGCAAGATTAATCTGTACATGATCCGTATAAAAGAAGACATCTCGGTCTGAAAGAGCTCAGTAATTTCTGTCCCTCAAGTGGATCGCTTTAAAAATAATCAGTGAAAAAATAAATATAAGAAAATACCACAAAATGTTGTGGTTGGTTCTGAGTTCACTTATTTTGCAACATCTAATATTTATTAATGCCAATGGGTATGTGAGAAGAAAAAAATTAAATTAGTGCTTACAAAATCAAAAAAGCTAAGCAATTTCTGTGATATCTGTAAAATTTAGTACTTAAGTGTGTTAAAATCTAAAACGAACACCAATAAAAAGTGATGAAATGCTTGGATAAGGTCTGTTATATAACTTCAAAGAAAAGGATTTATGCAAATATTTCTTGATATAGTTAAAAACGAATCTTATTAATTGACTGCTAAGAATTGAAAATGTCTATATTTTTTGAACCTATTTATAAGAAGATCTCATAAGTTGCGCTGAAACATTTTAAATGTATTGGGTTTTCCCAGAATATATAAGATTCAATAGTATAGCATGATAACCCGATGTCTCTTGTATGTAAATAAATTAAAAAAGATTAAGTTTTTATGTTATTCACAAAATATGTATAATTATACGTATGGTACCTTATCAGGAATGAATATAAAATTAAAAATTAACTTGTTGCCAAGTACTGAACTGCACCTAAATAATAAGAACTAACATTTTAAAGCGGCTCTAATACATATTGTTTGGTTTTACTTAGCATCTATACGGTTGTGGGACCCAAGACCATTCGATCCCAAAGCCCATACAACGTGGCCATTACTGTGCACAATGCACCTGGACCCAGTCAAATCTCAGTCAGCCTGAAGGGACCCTCATTCAGTGGAACGAAGAGCGTAAACGTTAGGCCCATGTCCTCGGAAACCATTAAGTTTGATATCCCTAAACTGAGCAGTGGCGATTACCAGCTGCAAGTTGAGGGTACTGGGGGCATTGTGTTCAAGAACTCCACCCAGCTGGCCTTTGCCGACGACAAGAACTGGATCTACATCCAGACGGACAAGGCCACCTATAAGCCCGGGGATTTGGTGCAGTTCCGAGTACTCTTCCTGAATAAGCACACCCAACCCGCCGCGATCGACAAGCCCATTACCATTGAGATTCACGACGGGGAAAAGAACTTGATCAAGCGGTGGAGTGATATCAAACCCTCAAATGGAATTTACTCCGGAGAGCTGCAGCTGTCCGATCGACCGGTTCTGGGCAACTGGAATCTGGCGGTCACGGTGCAGGACGAAGGCAAGGAGACCAAGATGCTGGTGGTGGACAAGTATGTGATGCCGAAGTTCGAGGTTCTCATCAACACCACTAAGGATGTGACGGCCAGTGCTGGGAGCATTAAGGCCACTATACTGGCCAGGTACACCTTTAGAAAGCCCGTCAAGGGCAACCTCGTCGTTTCGATCGAGGGCAGTAAGACCGAGAAAAACCTTCCCATCGATGGAGAGGTAAATGTGGAGCTTCCCTTTTCGGCCTCCGACAAGAGTCCTTTGAAAATTATCGCCACCGTTACGGAGGAGCTGACGGATCTCAAACACAATGGCACTGCCTACGTGACTGTTCATCAGAATCGCTATAAACTGGAGGATCTCTATTGGCCAACGCATTATAGGCCAGGAGTGCATTACAACTTCAGTGTTGTGGTCAAAAACTTCGACGGTACTCCTGTAATTGAGCCTTCCAAGAAGGTTAACTTTAACGTGTTGTGCTGTAACCTACCCAGAACTTTCCAAGCTGTCCTTAAAAGCAGCATCGCCACCCAATCAATAATGCCTCCCGATTCTGCGTGCAAAAGCTGTCTTGTGACAGCTACATTTGAAAACGCTGCCAGCATTGAGCAATATATATATAAGCTGAACCAGGCACTCCATATTGAGGTTATTACCAAAAAGTAAGTTATATTACTGGTGACTTCTATACATCTATAAACACATCTTTCTTCTTACAGTCCAAAACAAAGAGAGATGCTCTATATCGATATTGTATCTACCAGCCATCTTCCTTACTTTATGTTCACGGTTGTCGCTCGGGGTAGCATCATCGGAAATCATTATATTCAAGTGGAAAATGGACAAACCAGAAAGAGAATTAATTTCATACCCAATTTCAAAATGGTGCCCCAAGCCACAATTTTTGTCCATTATATTGTTAACGGAGTCTTGATGTCCGACGAGAAAACTATCGACATCGAGAGGGACTTTGGGAACACGGTAATCGACCATAAATTATACAACCAACCTAATCTTATCGTGGAAATACGATACGTTCCTTGACAGATTGAAATCACGGCACCGAAGGATGCAAAGCCCAGCGAAGAGGTGAGCCTTAGGGTGAAGACCGATCCCCATTCCTTCGTCGGCCTTCTTGGAGTGGACCAAAGTGTGCTGCTTCTTAGATCTGGGAACGACTTTAACCGGGACCAAATATTGAGTAATCTAGCCAAGTACTCCACCGAATTGGTGACCCTAACCAATGCCAATATCAACATCGATCAGGACTTGGGTGGGTAAAATATGAATGTATACTTTTATTGCTCTTGCTAAACTTTATTTACCCAACAGACGGGTGCTATACTAACCCCGGTAAGTCATTATAATAGATATTAAAGAAAGTTTACTTAACTAATTATCTTTATTTCTCAGCACAAGTTACTTGTACTGGATCTCTTAGTGTGCGATCTGCGATTACCAAAGTTGGATCTGGTAAGACCATCTTTATCAGCTATGAGGTCTCCTATATATTTAATAAAATATTTATTAACTGTAGAAGACAACTCAGCTCCTACAGCCATAAAGCGACCAAGCAGCCCACAAAGTGAACTTCCAGCGATTCGAAAAGTATTCCCTGAAACCTGGCTGTTTTCAAATATAACCCAGTAAGTCCTATGCGGTTTCCAAGAGCAATCCAAATCTAACTGAACTCAACAGGGTGGGCGCCAATGGTGAATACATCCTGAAGAAGGCAATACCCGACACGATGACATCCTGGGTGATCACTGGTTTCTCCCTGAGTCCCAATTCGGGCCTTGCCGTGACCCGGAGTCCAAGTAAAGTTCGGGTGTTCCAGCCGTTCTTCATAACCACCAATCTGCCGTACTCCGTAAAGCGGGGCGAAGTAATTGCCATACCCGTATTGGTGTTCAACTACTTGGAAATGGCTGTGCGGGCGACTGTATCAATGGATAACTCTGATGGGCAATACGAATTTATCGAGGCAACCAGTGCAAATGTAACGAAGGATATGATGAGGGTAGAACGGAAAAAAACATTATGGATACAAGCCGGAACTGGACGGAGCATTTCCTTCATGATTCGGCCAAAGAAGGTGGGACTTACCACTCTGAAGATCACTGCCATCTCGCAAATGGCCGGGGATGCCATTCATCAGATTCTTCGAGTTGAGCCCGATGGCGTGACCAAGTACGTCAACAAAGCCGTCTTGGTCAACTTGGGAAGGTTGCACCGTCGAAGTCTGGGACCGCCGGAAAAAACACTTACCGTCGAAGACGTTACAGGTGCTATAGAAGGGTCCGAGTTCCTGGAAGTCCAAGTGGGTGGAACGGTGCAGGCACCTCACCTCAAAAACCTGGACCAAATGGTTCGCTTGCCCTACGGCTGCGGTGAGCAGAACATGTTCCACTTTGTTCCCAGCGTTCTGGCTTTGTCCTACTTGGTAGCGAGTAAACGCAATGAGCCAGAAATTTTCAAGAAGGGTAAGCAATATGCGGAGACTGGGTACCAGCGAGAACTCACCTACAAGCGTGACGACGGATCCTTTAGCGCCTGGGGCAAAAGTGATCCAGCAGGCAGTACCTGGCTCACCGCATATGTCATCCGATCTTTCCACCAGGCTGGCAGTCACATAGACATTGACCCCAGTGTCCTGTCAGCTGGCCTCGACTTCCTGAAGTACCGACAGCAGCCCAATGGCCAGTTTGCGGAACTCGGCAGGGTCATTCACAATAGCCACGGAAGTCCCTTGGCACTGACCTCGTTCGTCCTGCTTACTTTCTACCAGAACATGGTGAGCTTCTCTGACCTGGGATTAAGGTCTTTTGTTTTATCTTTTTCACTTATTTTCCTCCGCAGGAACATCAGGCCAGGTATGCAGATGTGATCAACAAGGCTGTGAACTTTGTGGCACAGAATGTGGACCAGTCGAATGAGCCGTACGATCTCTCCATCGCCGCTTTAGCTTTGTCTTCGGCCAAGCATCCCAAGGCCCAGAGGACTCTTAACAAGTTGGAGGGATTGGCCAAGCAGAGTGGTGGTCACAAGTGGTGGACCAGGTCAGATAACAGTGTGAGCAACGACGTGGAGATCACCTCGTATGTGCTGCTCGCCCTTCTGGAGCAAGATGAGTTGGATGACCCAAGGCCCATTGTCGATTGGCTGATCAGCAAACGCAACAGCGTCGGAGGATTCGCCTCGTCCCAGGACACGGTTGTGGCCACCATGGCCCTAACCAATTACGAACTGCAAACTCAAATACCAATTGGGGCAATCGACCTAAACTTGTCCTACTTGCAAAATGAAAAGAAAACCGTTACTGTAACTCCGCGTAATGAGTTGAAAATGCAGACGCACGAACTTCCGATTAACGCCAAGCAGATTAAAGTCTCGGCTTCGGGTCAAGGACGTGCTCAAGTACAGCTGTCGTACCGCTACAACGTGGACACCCGGGAGCCGAGTCCCAGCTTCAAGGTGACGATTAATGCCAGGAAATCGGAAAGATACCGACTGGTTCTCGACATTTGCGGAGAATATACTCCCGTCGAAGACTTCGACAAGGGAAAACCCACCAATATGGCGCTAATGCAAGTGCAGCTGCCATCCGGTTATGTTAGCGATTCCGAATCCTTCGCCAACATCAAGGCCGTTTCAGATGTTAAGAGCGTGGAGACCAAGAATGACGACACCGAGGTTCACATCTACTTCGAAAAGCTGACTCCCAATGACCGGAAGTGCTTCGCACTGAAGGCCATCTTCACCCATGCGGTGGCCAAACTCAAGCCCTCTTGGGTTAAACTCTACGACTACTATGCCACTGAACGCAGCGCCATAGAGTTCTTCCATGTGGAGTCCTCCCTGTGCGACCTTTGCCAGGGCATCGAGTGCGGAAGCGGGTGCTAAAGGGTCTCAAGAAATAAAAGTACATACCATGTTCTTAAAAACGAAATCGTTAAATAAAATTATAAGGCAAAAGTTTAATTAACTTTAAGATATTTTTGTTTATATTTTTTTAAGGGGACGAAGAGTCTGATTTTTCCATTTTTTAAATGGTGATATTGGTGATTTAACTGGTTCCAATAAGGCTGGTGCTTCTGGAAGCCACGATCCATCTAGAAGAGATAACAATTCTGAAAATGGCGCAAATTTGTCCACTTTCTTAATGTTCTTAAGGATCTCGTTCTTTTTATAACTATGTCCAAACTAAGAAAAATATATTCAGTTCGGAGTAATTCGTCTTGGAAGTATAAGGGGCTTTCTACAAAAACGAAAGCCCAGTTCGCCAAGAGCACCACTTTGTTTCTCCCAAAGTATTAAGGAAAATGTTTGAACATAGCGTTAATTTACTATGTTTAATATTTTTCAATTTTAAATGTTATATTTCAGCGAAACTAAAGTGAAAGTGTTTTGAGTACACAAACACGATTGCTTAGCTTTTATTGATTGTGCTTTTTACGTCATAATAAAATGTACTGTATACTGTACTTTAATTATACTCATACATTTTGATAACAGACAACTGCTGGCAGCCTTTTAAATGTAAATGTATAAACTACAACGAGATTAACTTAAGTATTTAAAACAAGTACGGACTAAGACATTTCAAAATTGAGATGTCAAAAAATGATTTGTATTGAAAACTGAAGTTTCTTTTTTAATTTTATTTTTTAGACTTTAAAAATTAACTTAAGGGTATTTCGTTGTCGACTTAGCTATTTTATGTTCTCTTTATTGTGTTGCCAACTGTTTGTTATTTTTACTGAAGCAGCTTTTCATATTCATGGGAGCCTAATGATTGGAATTTATATTTTTAAGAAATGCTTTATCACTGGTTATTCCCCAGTGATAACGCAATCGCTCGTCTGTGACTTCTCAGTATTTCAAATAACCTCGGAAATGGTTTGCATGAGTTTTCGGATGGGCAATTATATTATGCTGCGTTTTGATAGGTAGATCAATAGGTCATCTCAACTGGAACCAGCAGAAAGATAAAGCCTGGAGCCCAATAAATTTGATTTACCGTTTGTCAACAGCTTAATAACAAATTTCTATTAAACGATGACAAAATGACTGGTTACTTACTGCTATCTTTAATGTTGCTGCTATCTCTAAAAACAATAATTGCTAGAAATGCTTTTTCCAAACTTTGATTTTGTTTTTTATTAGTAAGGAACAGTCTTTAATCCCTGTTCTTGCAGTTCTTAATATAACCCTTGAATTTAGATATCATTTATGCAATGAGAAGGGTGGGATATTAAAACTTCGCCCGATGGCTTTGGAGGATTCAAGTTTACGTTTCCCAAATAGCGTATTAAAAACTGTTTGGGTTCTTCCTTCCGTTGGCTGATGAATGAGCTCCACTGGGCAGGGGTTGCACCAGTTGACAGCCGGAGCTTCGTCCTTCGTTCTTCGCCCTCCTTCCCAGTTGCCCCTTGCAATTTGAGTAGACGTTTTCTAATAAACATTAAGTTGACATGAAATACACGCCAAACAAATGAAGCAAATGCATTTCATCCCGGCCAGTGGATGTGGGCGGTGGCGGGGGGCGTGGCCAAATGCTGGCTAATACCGCCCCTTTTCAGACCGGCTTTCAACGCCGACACCGCAGGATATGTTTACAAATTGAAAAATATAGCATGCGACCGAGAGAACGTGCAGCGAAAAGTGCACAGTGAAACGGTATCTTAGAGAAATTATTTCAAATTCACCCTTAATTGTCTCCAACATTTTTTAAAATGCAGTTTATACTTGCTTGGACTCATAAATATGATTATTCATAAAATGTTTTAAAAATTTACGCAATGCTTTCGAGTACTAAAACAAATTAAATACTAAGAAATAATCAATAAGAGTTCATTTCTAAAAAAAACTTACATGTTATCCTTTAATTTTTTTTAGTAAGATACGGCTTATTCGGGTACCAAAGTGATTAAAATGAAATTATGTTATTTGTATATGGACATTTGCTTGTATAACTTATCTGGAATGGCAAAATCTGTTGTCAAATTTTAAAAATCCCCTATTAAGGTCACTTTGTAGATAGATTTTCATTCCATGATCAGTGGATCTTGAAGCACTATGGCCATCTAGGCAAGTTTTGCTGCAGAAATGAGTTGTTACATGGGTCAGTTGGCTGTGGGCAGGCAGACTTCCTCTTCCTGCGAGTGGACCGTCAACGTGCAGCGCGGTTTTGCCCGAGCACAACTCTTACATACTAATGTTGAAAATATATAATGGTTTATATGAAGAATATGGCAAACCGTGTAGCGGCATACATATATATGCGGTTAAAAATGAATATTTCCTGCAGGAAAGTAACCGGAGAAGGGTAAATCTGACACGAAACATTTGCGTGACAAGCAAAATGCTGGCACATCCTGGGGTATCAGACGATGGCAAAGGGGTTCTATGAAGTTCGGAGTGGAAGTTCTCGACCACTGCATTTCAAAGAGGGCCAGGAAAATAATTATGGCCCAAATCAAAATAATGCAGAAGAGAAAAGCGGAGGATGATAAAAAAAAGAAGACCACAAATTAGAAATGTACACAGGGGTATGGAAAAAAGTTTGTCAATGTCAGGAGCATTGAGATAGCCACAGGACATGTTGACAATTTTCTGTGCCCATGACATTGAAAAAGAACTTTCCTCTGTATAGCGGTGGAGTTAGACATGCCTGATTGATTATACAGACAGAGCACTGATTAACATGGATCAAGTATTTTCCGTATCTTACACTATCACTTTTTGTATGTTATATACACATTTAACTAGTAATGAGTTTTTAATAAAATGTTAAAACTGTAATTGAATTCAATCTGTTGGGGAGTTCAAAATAATGATAACTCACAAAGGCAACGGCAAATCTTTATATGTCTCCAAATGTTGTTAGTTCAGAAATAGTCCCATAGATTTTAAAGTTATTTAATATAACTCTATCTTTATTAGTTCAGAAAAAGTCCCTTCGATTTTTATGTTATTTATTAAAACTTCCTTTTAAAACCTTTAATGGTTAAAACTTTTGTGTTTATTTTAAGATATTTTTTCTCAAACCTTGTAGACAAGTGATCGCATTTGCATAGAAATAATCCTGAAAAACATGGGGAAATTAACTGGCGGCTAACCAAAAGACAAAGCTGGGCCAAAAAGAACGGAGGCAGCCGTCAGCAGCGCAGCTCCAATTTGGCAATGTCGGATTGACAACAATTAAATTTGCCTCCTGTCTGATGTCGCAATGAGACGGCCAATCAACTGCCTCTTTGCACCTCCGCAGATGTCGTCGTTGTAAATTGTTGACAGAATTCAAATCAGTGCCACGGGCAAAGTGCACCCCTCGTTTCGTCAGAGGAACGCCACATCCAACTCCGCTCTGAAGGAAATGATGATGTCGTGTCGGCAATGTCTGTGTCATAAATGTCACTTTCAATTTCGTTGCTTGGCTGGCAGGACTACGGACTCGGTGGGTTCGATTAAAGCGTGTTTTGAATGACAAATTAGCTAAACGTTCTTCTTAAGCCGCCTTTTGCAGCAAAGGCAAATTTAATTATGTCAGCGTAGCGTTGTGCATCAAATCATGTGGCAAATTGCGACATGTGGAAGAAATACAACAATATTGCCCTTTAATTTGCGTTTGGAAGTCATTTCCGACCCTATAAAGCATGTAAATTAATCAGCATCAGTATTTGAGTCTAAATAGTCATGCTCGTCTTTCAGGTTCTAAGCAAACTAGTCTCAGGCTATCATAACTTTTCCAAACGTGTGTTTTCCAATGGAGAAACAAATAAATAAAATGTAAATTTTTATATAGTCGGACGACTATATAATTTAGCTGCCATAGGAAAGATCGAAGAATATTGGCATAATACTAAAACCAAAATCTTAGCTTCGTTGCCTTTCTGGTTATATTTTTAAATTATTAAAAAAATATTTTACACTTATAAATTATGGTCATAGCAAGAAAGCAATGCTGAGCAAAGCCCTTTAATATTGAACAGACCTAAAGAATTATTTTTTTACTTATCATATATTTTATAATATCTGCCAAAATGTATATTTATAAATATTTATATTATGTATTTATAAGATGAATTTCAATATGTAGGCTTAACACCAATGGGTTTTCACCTTTGCAAAGCTAATGTAAAATTTTTATTTAGAGATGTCCACGCTACAACACTAAATGGTGAAGTAGTTTTCAGATTCGTCTTAAGGTGTTCTAGGATGCACCAAGCCAGAATAAATATGACGGGTCCTGAAGGGACATTGAATAATGTTATCTTGCCATAAATTGTGTGCATTGAGTGGCCGCGCAGGACGAGGGGCAAGTGTCAAAGGTTTCGGTTTTCCAATAGCTTCTCCAATAGTTCTCGTCCTCGCCAGCATCCTGGGCCGTGAATGTCTGGGCCGGCAACGAGTGCTTCCTGCTTCCTGATAACTGATTCCTGCTTCCGGCATGCCGACTGTCTCCAGACAACTGTACAAGCGACTATAACTGTCGGCAAGTTGGCTTTATTACTTCCACGCTGTTGAATATGCATATAAAAAGCGAATCGGCAGTGGAGGGTTGCTTTGACGACTAGCGGCACGCCCACTTTGGATGGTTGGTTGGTTGGTCGGTCCTTGGTCCTTTGGTCCTTTGTGCTGCTCCTGCTCCTCCCATACTCCTGCCAAAGGCCAAGGCAGCCCATCCCTGGGCGGGTGCATTATCACTTGCCAGCCAAGCAAAATATTGTGGGTGCATTAAATATTTTCCCTCGTGCCGCAAGACAAAAGAAACGCTTCACGAACTTTCGGTTGGTGGAGGTTGCAAATGGGCTGAACAAACTATGCGGGCACGAGATGAGCCAAGGGTTCCGTTCTTGTTCCCCTCACCATTCCCAGGCCTTTGTCTGCGTTTTATATTAAACTATTTATGCCTGGTCCTGGGATCTCGCAGCTCGCCTCTTGGCCACCGGATCTCGAGGAGTCTCGGCTGGATGGCGCTCGAAAGCCGAGACCTACAAAATTTACCTACTACATACAGCTGGCGGTGCGGGCTCTGTGCCGCATTTTTATCGAGCTACATTTTGCGGGGGAATTTATGAAAAATTTAAAACAATTATGTGGCTTCGGTTGCATCTTCCGCAAGCAGGATGGGTAGCCATTGATCGCTTGGCTGGTCAGTTGGGGGGCATCCCCACCAGAAATTGTTCATGGCATTCTGCGATGCCAAAGTAGGGAATACCAAGTATGCATTGATTGGTTTTCTTCTTGTAACTGGGGCACTAAGGGTTCGGGAGGGAGGAGAGCTAAGTAAGCGAGTTTTAGTAAAAATGTTTTTCTAATACATAAAGGACAGCTTCAAAAATATAGTTTATTGAATTTAATAAATTTGCTTAATATATTTACAACAACAATTAAAGTCCAAGGACAGATGGTACGAAAATTCAAGGATAAGCTAATATAAAAAATATATAATTTATTAATTTTCAACTATTTTCTCTTTTCTTTTTTGTACATAACAAATGAGGAACATCTTACTTTTATAAACTGTTCTTAAAATTCCACAAAAGATAATAATGAATTATTAACTAGGCTTAACTTCTCCCGGAAGACCTTATCCATCCCTTAGGCTCATTGTGCAGGCTTAAAAATTATCGCTAAGCCGGACAAAAATCAACGAACGAATCATTTCGCATGGCCGCCTTCTGCGATATAACCGATTCGACTTCCGGTTGGCAACTGTGATGCATTCTTGTGGCCGGAAATGGTGGAAAATGCTGCGGCATAGACAAATTTTTGGGTGCAATTTTGCAGTGGATTGCGGTTTGCAAGGGGGTTCTTCGGTTGAAAAACTTAATTAGCCTGCCGCAATCCAAAAACCAATTGGCATGGGCCAATGGTGATTGTTCCCAGAACCATGGCCAACATTTCGGGGCAATTGTGTCGAGTGGAAAATCAATGGCACAAGCCTTAAATGGCAGTTTGATGCATGGAAGCCCGCCCAATTGTTTGTGTGTTCGCTTGTCAAACAATATTGCAGCAGGCAGATTAGTTGCTTATTTTGACAGGAGCTGTCAGTGTTGCGTTTAGCACCGGTACCCGAACCCAGGACGCCCGGATCTCGGACCGGGTAAACATACGGCAATATCTGCAGCACCGTTTCCTATCACGATATATAGGATATATTGCAAGGATATATAAAGGAGTCCAAGGATGGGCCTTGGCCAGCTGACGATGATGATTCTCATATCTCTGGTGCAGCCAGTGCATGCACTTCTGCTCGAGTGCCCTGCCACATCCGCATCCGCATCCGCACCCTCGTCCGCATCCACATCCACATCGAGCATAGTTTTTCTTTGGCTTCTCTCATTTTTCATGCGCGCCAGCTAAGCTTTTAATTAAATGCAAGAAAATTCAATTTTAATTAAAATTTCTCAAAAGTCTCTGGCCTGGCATTGCATACGGATAGCGCAGCGATTGGATGGGGATTGGGATGCGGATGCTGTTGCGGATGTGGATGCGGATGGGGATGGGGATGGGGATTGAGAATGAGGATGGGGACTAGGTACGGGCTTTTGGGTCTTGTCCTGTTTTCGATCTGGGCTGTTCGACTACTCGAGTGTTTGCCAAACGTGTAAAATTGAAAATTAGGAAATCGAATTGTAATGCCACCAGAGGCAGGACGTAAGACGAACGAGGCGAGGGATCCAAGTCATCAGGCACACAAAAGCAAAATTGTAAAGTAATTGGAAATGAAAATTCATTTAGGATCCGCATGGGGATGAGCAAATGCGCTGCCCAAGGACTGAGGGCCTTTGAAGGGAGCATGAAGCATAATCCGATTGAGCTTTGTCATTCCGGGGAGCCCTCCCAAACGGACACTCTCCTCTGACAGAAGATTACCTCTTTTTCGGGGGGCAAATAATCACTTTCAAAGATTTTGGGGAAACACTACGACAGTGTGCCAATATTTCCAGTATAGCTGGTTTAATTAAATGTGTCCAATGCTTTGTGTTTCCATTTATAGGACTCTGGGTCAATGGGAAAAATTAAAAAAACAATATGTTATCCCATCGAAACAGTTAAGTTTCCATAAATGCAACATCCTTGAAATTATTGGTTTTTTTTCATATATCCTTAAAGGCTAATCTCCTTTTGAATCGTAAAAAATCGATTTGAAAAATTGTTGGGTTATATAATCTCCTCATTTAACTCAATCCCAATAACTCTAAGCCACACGTGACTGTCAATATTTTGATATTCGCGATAGGGCTGGTAGCAAAGTTTTGAGTAAAAGTTAGTTAGCCTCCAAAAGCCAGCGCGGCTTTGGTGAGCATTTTGCACATAATTTAAGCGCTCACATCCCGTCAGTCATAAATTACACATATTACATGCACGTATAAATCGCAAACCAGATCCGAATACGTATCCGTATGCGTATGCGTTGTGTTCGAGGGTCCTGCTGGGCCCAAAAGTGCGCCTCCTGCAAACTGGGACCAAAGTGCTTAACATACTTTTTGGCGCTGGGCCCGCACACACACGCACCAACACTCGTACACTCGCACACGGATGCAAACAGATACAGGGGCAAATCGGGAAACGCACGTAGCGCAAAAAGTTGCAAAACTTTTGCCTGCCCGCAAGTGAAAGCTCGAGGAAAGTAAGTCAAGACTTTGCCAAGTGGAGCTGGGAATGTTACTTTTACTTGGGGTACCCCTTCTACCTTCCTTCGGAGGATCTAGAACTCCAGGGCCTAGTCAAAATGGGACATTATTTAACCCTTAATTCAGGGTCCTAGGGAAAAATTAAATATCTTAAAAGCCTTTTTTACATATAAATAAATACGTAGCCACAGTAAGTAAACAAGTATCTTTATGTCAGATTGTCAAAAAATTGGCTTTTTAACAAACAATTTAAAATTTTCAGTATTTTTATGGCGTTTAGACCATAAGTGCAAGAATCGAGTCTATTAATTCAACATGTTGATGTGCCTTTCTAGTGTTTATGAAGTGTGGCAACAAAATGTTGCAGTATGTCGCTTCTTGATCCTAATGGTTCTGTGTCAAGTTGCATGTTGTGCAAAAATTCCAGGACTCTATGATGAACCACGTTTACCGGCAACCATAACGCCCTTTCACTATGATATTCGATTGATAACCCATTTGGAAAACCCAGCTAACCACAAGTACAATGGTTTCGTGAACATTTCCCTCCATGCACAAAAGACCACCAACCAAGTGGTACTCCATGTGGCCGGTGTTTCCATAGAGACCAAGAAAATCAGGTTATATGGAGAGACATCCGACCTTAAGCTGACAACCGTTAAGTTCAATAAAAAACGGGACTATATGGTGGTAACATTCGACCAGCCTTTGTGGTTGGGCAAATCCTATGTCCTAAGTATTGAGTTCGGTAGGTCGATGACAAAGAAATTGGAGGATGGTTACTTTTTACGTTACTATGTGAATGCAAAGTCCTCGGAGAAAATGTAAAGTAATTTTAGTGTCTATAAACTGAAAGATGTACAATCCTAAATACTCTGCAGCTGGTATTCTATCTCCCACTTTAATCGAAATTTGATTAGGAACACCCTGCCCAGTTTCGATGAGCCTGGCCTGAGGGCCACCTTCAATGTGACCATGGGTCATCACAAGCGATTCCAGAGCTACAGTAACATGAACGTCCGAGCAGTGTTACCAAAGTGAGTGGGGTATCTAATCCTATATAATCCCTTACCATTCCTGTGCTTTGATAGCTATGATATTCAGGACTATGTGTGGTCTGTGCACGAGGTGACTCCTTTGATGTCCACCCATTTGCTGGCCTTCTCCGTGAACAACTTCACCTGTCGTTTCACCCAGGCGGCCAGTGCGAATCCTGTTCGCTTTCGCACCTGTTCCCAGTCGTCTAATGTGCGTGAGACAGGCTTTGTTGCAGAAAAGGCTCCTCAGCTGCTTGAGTTCTTGGATAACCTGCTGAGAGTGAGCCTGCCGCTGGAAAAGATCGACCAATTGGTGGTAGACGACTTCCCCACCGAGGATCATTCCACTAAGGATCTCGGCCTGGTCGTCTACCACAGCAAACAGATCCTGCAGCGTGAAGATGGCCCAATGACGAGGTCGAAATCGCTGGCCCTCCAGCGGATCGCCCACGGTATGGCCCACATGTGGTTCGGCAATCTGCTGGGAATCGACTGGTGGTCTGATCTCTGGTTAACGGAGGGACTAACGGGCTACTTTGAGACGCTGGCCATGGATCATTTGGAGCCGGGAATGGCTCGTCGTCTGCAGTTGCGCAACCGCGAAACATCTTTCATGTACGAATCAGAGGTTGGTGGTGTGTCCTTGGTGTCCTTTTGGCCCCTGGCCAGTCCAGAGGTAGAAAAGCACCTGTACCAAAAGGCCACAGCTCTAATTGGCATGGTGAATGGCTTCTTGGGCAACGCCACCTTCTACGATGGATTACAGCGACACTTGTGGCAGAACTCCTTCGCCAGCAGTACACCCGATCTCTTCTGGAGGTCCTTGCAATTGGCCAGTGAAAGGGAGTCTGTGCTGAGCAAGAACTGGGATGTGAGAAGTGTTATGGACACCTGGACCCGAAAGAGCGGTTATCCATTGGTCACGGTCATCCGGAATGGCAACAATGTGGTCCTAATGCAAGGACACGCCCTCAACAGGAGCAGAACGGATCTGTGGTGGATTCCACTGACCTACACTATTGATGGCGAGGCCTTTCCCGAGGATCTCAAGCCGAGGGCCTGGCTCACTCCGCACCAAAATCGCCAGCAACTGGATGAGATAGTGCCCCTAAACCAGTGGATACTTCTTAATCTGCGGGCCGTTGGCTACTACAGGGTGAACTACGACGAGCACACGTGGCAGCTATTGGCAGCCACGCTCATCGATGACTTTCGCAGCATCCATGTCCTGAATCGAGCCCAAATCGTTAGCGACATCATCTTCCTGTGGAAGCAGGAGCTGGTCAGCTGGTCCACCGCCTTCAATGTGCTAAGGTACATCATCGATGAGGACGAGTACGAGCCCCTGATGGCGTTAGTTGTGGGCGTGACAAATGGTTTATGGGGCATCTCCCCGGAGAGTGCCCTTTCCATTGCGGTAAGTTATGACGTTCTTCGAAATTGTGATCACTTTTGTGCCTTAAAAAAGTAGAGCCCCCCATTATAAACCTTTGTTTTTACTATACTTTTTGTAATCATTATTATTTTCATAAAGTATACATTACATGTTATGATTTGTTGGAATAAAATTATATCTGGCCGCAGTTTGTTTAGAATTTGACTAGTGAAGATTATCAAAAGTAATGTATACTATAAATGAGAAAAACCCAATCGGAATATTTTATAAAATACAATTAATACAAAAAGTCTTACTCAATTTTAATTAGCAAGACTGGAATTAACATAGAATTTTAGCTAAGTCCTTTAATGTTTCTTTGCAGAAATGGCTGGGTGTTGCTGGCAGGTGGTATGCGGAGTTCATCAGTTACACGTTCGACAAATTCGTGGTTAAGAGTCCCAATCTGAATAGCCTCGACTACCCGGACTAGCGGCCCACAATGAGGAGCCATCCGAGAACCACAAACTAATGGGCCAGCACCAGATCCACACCCAGTGGCCAAGTGCCCATCCAAGCCGCTTCTTCGGTGGATGGAAGATGGCGAAATGAAACCGCCATCAATGAACCGCAATTGTATTTGTTTGCAAATAACTGAGCGTTATCTGAGACTATTTATCTTTATCTGCAACAACAGCAGAAGCACCACATCACAATGGCAAAAGACCCAAGAAGGAGCAGGATCCAGCCACTGGGAACTGAGAGGGCTGGGGGATCCACTTACAGCCAAGGCGCCAACTGAAATAATGATGCAGGCGAAATAACAATAAAGGCGGGGCCGCCAGGAAGAGGACTGTTCCAGAAGAAAGGACACTATCGATGCTCCTTGCCGCAGCGGTAAAGACAATGCCAGACCCCTAATACTGCAGCCATTTCCATGGCAATGCAATGGACTTCCCCCAGCCAGCCAAATCACTTTAGCCAGCCGAGGGTTAAAGTCTTTAAGGTCAGCGAAAAAGTTTTAGGGAAGCAACCTAATCGAAGAAAAATGAAACAAGGTAACGTGATTTAAGAAAAACAACGTCCAAAAACATTGTGTGAATAAAAATATACTTAAAAATTCCAATATCCTCTGCAAGGGCAGGGGGGGAAAAGAAAAGCATATTTTACGCTTAATGAAATTTAGGCCACAGCGGTGGGAGTCAAAGCCAAAGCTTCGGAAAGCGGAAGCGGATTCCGCCTAAAACCATGCAAATTAAATTTAATGGAAAATATATTACCATTTTCCGTTTTTGGGTCTTTTTGCGACGCCCACTTTTGCCTCTTTGCTTCGTTTATGGCCAGGGGCAAGACAAATATTTATACATCAAATTTGGTGCTATGCATTAATAACGTTGTGTGTTGCAACAAGTTGAGGCTCAAATTATTTTTATACTTTGTATAAACCTATCACCGGCATACCCTATGAATGTAATTATTTTCGTATTTATTGTAAAACGTTTAATTATTTTGTGCGCGACAGCTCACCCTCAGCTTTTTTCGTTTCAGGGCATTTCTATCATTATCCTTTTTGAGTGGAATTTTATATGATTTTTATGATAAATTTAAATGTCAGAATGATGCCTGTGTTTGTTTTTTTAATTCCCCTTTGTTTGTGGCCATATTTAAATGCGGAAATTCATTAAGGTTGCTATTTATTTTCATTCTTGTCATATAAAAGGCACCAAAGCATCCACTTTGGACGCAACAAAAACAAAAAGTCTTGTGCTGCATTAAAAAAAAATCAATTATTGTAAAAGCAAGTAAAAAATGTCATTATGTGTCAGAATTGGCTATAATACAGTTGCTGAATGCAGTTGACAGTTTTATAATGACGTTCATTACGGAAGCGGGCAATTAATTTCTTTTGATTGCCCAGGTGCGGCCTGGCAAACGGTCGAGTATACGACCTCAATATCTGTAGAAGAGCCTAGAAAGTTTTCCATTACCTTATATGTGGCTTTTTGGAAATATTCTAAGTTCTCAGGTTACTAAACACAAATATATTTTTATACTTACTTCCATTTAAATATATTTAGCATTTTATAACCATTTCAGCTAAAATCAAAACATCCCATATGAATATTTGAACAAACATCGTTTCCTCTGTCAAAACACTTGGTAGCTGGTTAACCAATGGGCAACATTCGTTTTGACACATTCCATACATCATATATCTGCCGGCATCTGAGCACTTAAAGCACATGTCGATTGCCCCCATAAAAAGGACAACGGCAGCAGGATCCAAAACATCTCACAGCAAATAAACAACCAACACACTGGGACTCGTATCCGAGTCGTGTTGAATTTTTTGCATGAATTATGCAAAGGAGTGTGTTCAACTGTTGTGGGCCAGTTCCAAGTTCCGGGCATCCCTGACTCCCACAAAGGGAATTCTTAAATGGGATTTGGGAAATCAGAAGCCCAGCCAAGAGATGGGGATGCGAAATTAAAAGGGGATGGCGAACTCAAACGGTGGCCAAATAATTTTTTCGCTTTGATGGCATATCCAATTGCATTTAGTCTAAGTAATATTACATAAGAGGATGGTTGCACATGTGTATGCCTGTACACAGAAAACAACTTATAATAATCTTTACATAAAAATAAAACTTTACTTTAACATAGTTATACACTCCTGCCCATACTTATACGACACCTCGACAATTTTAGTTTCGACCCTCGTAGGAGAATGGGAAAACAAAAGAAAGCCAAAATGAGTATGCAGAACGAAAGCTGTATTAATTCTGCTTTAATTCTGATCTTCTTATCTCTGGTTGGATCTTGCGTTTCCAAGTAGCGGTAACAAAAGCTCAAAAACTCCATTTTTGCTATGCCTGCAATTGTAACAAAATTATACGACACTTTTCAATTTTGTTTGATTTAAGTAATGTTTTAATGTTTAAACTGTTATTTAATAATCAATTTGGCCACCATGAGCCTTTCCTACGTCAAAAAGCCTTTTAGGCATTGAATTTATCAAATTTTTTAATAAATTTATATCTAAAAGAGCCCATTGAGCCAAAATTTCTTCCTTAAGGCTTTCAACGCTCTCAAACTGGGTGTTATTGGCGTACACTCGCCTGGCTAAGAGTCCCCATATGTTTTCAATGGGGTTTAGATCCGGAGAGCACGCTGGCCATTCCAAAACATTTACATTGTGAACATTTAGGAAGCCCATCGTCTCTCTGCTCCTGTGAATTGATGCGTTATCCTGCATGAAAACAAGGTTTCTGTCCATATTTGTTTCCAAATATGGCAGAAGACGCTCTTCCAATACTCTCTTATAATCTCCACTATTCATCCTGCAGCTTGTGAAGCAGAGATCAAGCGTTCCCGACGCATTAAAGGCTCCCCAAACCATTGCGGATCCGCCTCCAAAATTTCGTTTGGAAAAAATAAGTGGATCCTTTCTCAAATCTCTCCAATAGTGCCGAAAACCATCTGGGCCGTCAAGATTAAATTTTTTCTCATCAGAAAAAATTATCTAAATGAGAAATTATGAACAAATCTGTGTAAACAAAATCGAGCTAAAATTGCATACCGAGGCCCAGTTTCTCTGAAGGTTGTTTTCAGCAAATTGAAGTCGCGCTTTTTTGTGGCGCGGCTTTAAGGACGGGACCTTTTTCAATATTCCTCTAACAATTACTTCGGATGTTTTCAGCGCCCGCCAAACAGTCATCCTGGACACAGGCTTAGTGCAACCTGCGGCAATGGTGGAGCACGAAGCAAAAGAATTGCTCGCTTCCAAAATTATGCGACGTTTATCGCGGTCATCCAGTTTTGGTTTTCTCCCAGAACTACGCTTCACACCATATTCTTCCGGATTTCTTAGAAAATTGGTTATAACACAACGCGTTCGGCCAATTTTTCTAGAAATTTCGCTCACATTAAAGCCTGCATCGTTGTAGGCTTTAATTCTACCTTTCTCGCCCTCAGACAATAAACGTCCAGCCGGCATTTTATTCAAAATTAATTTAATTGATCTCAGAAATACTATACAAAGTAATTTAAACCACACTTGTCGCTCTAATCAAACAAAATTTAAAAGTGTCGTATAATTTTGTTACAATTGCAGGCACAGCAAAAATGGAGTTTTTGAGCTTTTGTTACCGCTACTTGAAAACGCAAGATGCAACCAGAGATAAGAAGATCAGAATTAAAGCAGAATTAATACAGCTTTCGTTCTGCATACTCATTTTGGCTTTCTTTTGTTTTCCCATTCTCCTACGAGGGTCGAAACTAAAATTGTCGAGGTGTCGTATAAATATGGGCAGGAGTGTATATACAGACAAGAAAGCTTTAACTTCCTAGAAATCTCCATTTTATAAAAACCCCAGTGTATATATTTAAGCGCATTTGCATTGCCTGCGAGTGCAGCTATTAAAGCCTGGCCAATAAATTCTGGCAGCGTTAACTACGTGAAATCCCATGCCCATTTACTTTGGCCCCACGTCCATCTTTGGCAATGAATCCCCGACCACCACCTGCAAAACTGCAACTTAACAATGCTTCAGAGGGCCGAGAACTCCCCCAATGCCACTCCCACTAACTTGGCTTTTCGTACCCCATGTGGCAGCGACGCATGCGGCGTATAAATCAATATTGGCAATTTAAAATTGGCTGGCGGTGTATGAAGCCAATATCCGGCAACGCTCAGCAGCTCGAGTGTTTGTGTTGGGTGCTGGGACGAGTGGGGAAAAAAGTGGGGAATTGCGAAAAAGAAGTACCCGTTTCGATGGGTGGATGTGCCCCGAACAGGCCCTTACAACTAGGCAGGGGTGTGCTTATAGGGATTTGGTGTTCGGCATCGTATATCCCCCACAAAATGCCATATATTATCTTAAGAATTTTAAAACGCAGATCTGGATTCTGGCGTATTTGACAAAAAATTAAATGAAAAATTCTGAAGGCCCTTTAAAAGTTATTCCGCTTACGCCACTGAACTTAGGGACACCACTGTGGATCTTAGACAAACATTATGTGGCACCCGAAACGTTCGTTCGATTTGCGATTGGGCATGGGTGCGTATGTATCCCAGTAAACCAGGAGTGGATGTTGGTCTAGGAGGGGTTGAGTGCTACGCGAAGTCCATTAAAATACGCGTATGTACATTTGTGGTTATTTTTTTGCCGATGTGGTCAAGGGGTAAATAAAGAGCAAATAAATACGAACAGGTGGGGAACTCCACTAAATGGTTGGGTTGGGTAATACAAATTGGAAGATACAAAATGCCTCAAAAAGAATTCTTGTTTAATAAAAGAAATGGAAACTTTAAATTCATATCACAATCACTTATTGTCCTTTGAATAGCCACTAAAAATATGATTTTATCCACTCCCGTTAAAAATAAACCAATTTATAAATACAACTCTTGGCAGATAAAATTAAAAAATTGTGTGATATAAAAGATTAACACAAAGGTGATTGAGTTTTTATAAGTTTGACAAATAGGTAGCCCATCACTTGCAATTACTCCGTCATCTATGCAAATTAAATTTGAAATTTGTATTTTTTTGCTAAATATTAAGTTGGAAGTCAAACAACAGGGCCCAAACCCGCGGACATAACCACCTAATTATGCGCCAATAAGTATGCAAAATTAAAATATTATGCAAATTACATCGAATGCGGATGGATCGTTGAAATTTAAACGCTTTTTGTTTTGACTTTTGGCCGCGCAATGGAAGAGCGAAATAAAATTATGACATCATCATCGTCGCCGTTATCAGCAATGCGTCAAAAACAAATTACCCGCGCGATGAGAAGAAGGTGGTGGGAAAATTATGCCGCATCAAAAATCTTGTTTACCCACTAAAAATCATCGGGTACGGGACTTCAAAGCAGTTTCTGTGCGGGCCAATAGCAAAATGCGTGGAAAATAAAAATACTGAAATTGCGTTCGTATCTCTAGGTTTATTGTTGTTTGTCTGTTGTTATAATAAAAAATATTTCTTCGAAGAAAATGGTCGTACTTAATGGGGGAATCAGTCAAGCATAAAGTATGGTAAACAGAGATAAATACCGAATGGCCATTGGCTCCCACTTTCTACCGAGAAAAATGAATAATAAAGTTTTTGAGGTCGAACTATGGGCAGATATACGATTGTGTGAAGAAATCAATACAAATCATATGCACCGATTGAGCTCGAAAAACTTAAATGCAATGAAGGTTAATGAAAACACGTTCAGAAATAAATCAGCCATAAATTGAAACCAAATATTCATACGCAGATATAAATAAATCAACATATTATTAAGCAGCAATAAGCGGTATAATTATTATTCAATTTCATTTAATGCTTTTTGTTGCTCCGAACTTATTTTATTGTGGTGTATAATGGGTGGTAGTTTCAAATCAAATTAATAGGTGCCGAATAGTCTGCCATTATGGGTATTCCTGGCCGCCATAAATTACGTACTTTAAAAGCAAAATATTGATTTTCACTCTCAAACCAAAATATTAAACTTTAATTTTTCATACTTCGCGAGGGCGCCAGGTCTTCCGGGTTCAATCCTGCAAGGCTTACCATAATGTTATTGGAGTATAAAACACTTTTCCTAATTAAAACCCATCCTCCCCCGCCCCGCTGCTTATTTTTTTCTTGATTTTCTTCCCGCCAAATGCTCAACTATCCATTTGGGCCGTGCCAAGAGCTTAACATTAATTGCCGTCTTTCATTTCCCTTCCGTCGTCCTTTGCATTTGCACTCACCTGCCAAACGGTGGGAAAATTGAAAAAAAAAATCGAGAAAAAGTATAAAAAGCAAAGGGCCAGGCGAACGTAAAGTTAAGTAGGAAAACTGTAAAAGGTCTGATAAAAAAGTTCGGGGCATTTGAAATGCCGAGGAGAAAAGCCGGAGGAATTGTAGAGCTAATAAAAAGTTTTCGCTTCCTTTCGAATTAAGTGGACAATCTTCTGTTTCTGCCAAATGCCGGCTTAATTACTAGCTTTGGCCCCAAGAAATTGCAACTTGCAAATGGGACAATTTTTGGCAACAATGCATATATAATTGAGTTTATTGATTCATTAAGTGGTTAGCGACATAAAATTGGTGTAAAATGCAATTTGACTTACATTGTTGCTCATCATTTTGTATAATAAAAGTGAGTCCTTGCTATGCATTCCCTTTAAAACTGTATTTGAGAATAAAAAAACTGCTTAAATGTTTTTAATTTAATTGGTTTAATATTTTTCATATTTACAGGAAAAATAATAAATAAATAAAAACATCAAATAAAGTACCTCTTTAAATATATTTTCAATAAAAGGAACTTAAAGTTATTTAAATCGAGTGCTGATACATGAATGATATATCAATTAAAATTACTTTTGAAGTGTTAAATTACAGTTCAAAGAAAATAAAGTGCAATCCCAAACAACAATATCTTAAGCAAGTCTCATAAATGAACTTGAATTTACATTTGATTTCGTTTGCTTGTACGGAATGTGAATATGTTGGCAATTAGCTTTCTAATAAAGACCCATATTCAGAATTTGTTAATTAAGGCAAATATTTTACGAGAATATTTCTGCCACAGCGCATGCCGGAGGTAATTTTCCAAATAGGAGTTTTGCTTATCGATTTTCAAAGCATTTTCGCAATATTCTGAGACTCGCACATGCAGTTCGCCTAAAGTTGTGCAATTAATTAATTAAATTTTGACTACGACCATGCAATCTCCATCTCCATGGACCTATACCCCCACCCACATCCATTGCGCCTTTTGTCTTGACTCTGTCTGGCATTGTCGCTGCACAAGTTCTGGTGCACAATTAATCCTTATTAATTATACGCCGCCTGTGGATTTATGGCAAGTTTTGTGCGTTGGCATTTGGCCAAGACACACACGCAAAGGCAACAACACACACACCCACACTCACACACACTCCAGTGCGTTTCTGGGCCAAGTAGGTTGCAAGTTGGCTTTCCCAGCTGCCGATGCCGGCATTCCATTTTCCCCTTATGACATTATAACCCAAGGACCCCACCTCCTGTTTTTGACAGCTGAGACCTCGACAACAAGCCAATAGCGGATTGTCCGGCAGGGGTCGTCATTACCTAATCGCAGACAAAGGACTCCTTAATTGCTCTCACCCATTCGGAATTGCCCAGGCAAACAAGTAGCTTCTCGAGAAGACAATGGCACACATCAATATGTTTTTAATAACTAGATGTGCCAAATAGACCAGTGATAAATCAAAAAATTTCTCTGGTGTTCCAACCTCATTTGAGGTCTTAAACGTGTACTTAAAAAAGAATAAATACTAACCATCAAGGTGTGTTTAACCACATGAGTTTACCACAGTCTCTTGTGTCTCATTATATCTTTTGTTATGTAAAATATTTAAGTTTTAAAACTAGTCCGGGGGAACTTAAAAAAGTTTTAGATGCAAAAAATTCCTAAAACATTTGAAATGTACTTTTTTTTGTACTGATTTATTTTAAAAAGTTTTCTTTTACTTTTTAAAATGCTTTGACCCTGTATTTGGAACTTTAAGGTCGCAATTTACGCCATTATTTTCTCTTAGTATAAAACACATTTGAGGGTTTTGTATTTATATTGTCATTGTGTTTCACACAAGGTATTGTAAAAAATGTTTACTTTTTTACTTATAATATTTGGACTGAGCGCATCACTATACATTTAAGTATATGCAAATAGGGGTAACAACTTTTCTCAACACCGTAAAGTTACGCTTTATTACATCCTCAATTCCTTTGGCGACTGAGTTCCATAAATAAACTCACGAAATGTTTCTTTTTTGGCAACTTTTTGCCGCCGCAGGGACTGTCATTAACTTAATGCTCACTGAGTCTATAAAAGACACAGATTGTTTCGTATCAGCATCTTCGTCTATTATCAGTAGGTATCCTCATAGGGATGCCCCGCGTTCTCAATGACTCTATTTAAATTGAAGTCTCTTTATGGATCTTAAATTTTTACGTGGCATACACATTTGAAAGTTCTGACCAGCATTGTAATACGCATAAAAGCCACAGTTCTTAAGAAATATAATGTCGGCCATCACAATCGGTTCATTAACTTCTCTCCAACTTGGTTGAACTCTGATAAGAGTTTCGAAGAAACCGAGAAATCGGATTACTTTTCCCAAGAAATGCAAAATGCATTTTTTCGTCTGTCGGAAGTACAACTGATTATGCCCACGGATTCCTTATCAAAATGGTATAAATACGAACCGAGACTCAGTCAAAGTCACAGTGTCTTCAAGCCTCTCAAATCGATCTAAAGATGTCTCCCAAATTCGCAATTGCAATCCTTCTCTTGAGCTGCGTTCTTCTGGGTATCGCAAATGCGCAGCAAATGCGGTATCCCCAGCATCGCCAGCAGACGAGATACCAACAGGCGGGTCGCTACAATACACAGAGGGTAAGAAACTATTTTTGTCAGCTAAAAAACCCGATTTTACCGAATTTGTACCATTTTTAACTAGGCTGGAGCTCGTAATTTGGATGGCTCGGGTTCAGTACCTCCGAGTTTGCCCCCTCCGGACTTAGGTCTCCCTCCTTCTGGGGGTCCTTTAGATGGTGGCGCTATCAATCCGGATTGTATGCCTAATCAACTGGCCAGCGGCAATGTTGACAACAAGAGACCTAGGCCAAGGCACTAAAAGGACACAGAGGCCAATCCAAAACGGCAGTTCCACAGTCGCCATATCATGATCACATAACATCATATAGTAAAGGTTTTGGATTGTATTCATTCGGTGGTAATAAAGGTGTATACAAATATTAAAGGAAAAGTAAAGTCCTATTTGTATTTAGTTTTTGTAACCGCATAGAAATCTTTTTTTAAAGTGATCTTTAAAATATTTAGCTACAAAATTATACAATACTCTACGATTTTATGTGCCTTTCAAATAATTAAACAATTCTGCAATTATTTCAAGAACCTTCTTTTGTTTTATACTTTCAAAAGTAGTCTACCTGCGGTAGCAAAAAATGAGCGAAATCAATGTAAACAATTACTGTGGTTAGTATTCGAACTATTCACGGCTTATCCATTTGCCAACCCAACCCACTCGGTTCGTATCACTGATGTTTGACAGCAATCAGTGCGATAAAATAGATTGTCATTATCATCAGTGGGACACTGGGTGATTTCTTTTTTATGCAACCGAGTGGATTTTTTCCGTATTTGCATTTCATTTAAAATCAATTTAGCAATCAGTCAGGCGCATTCTGTTAAACAGTAATTAACATAAATCAATTTAAATACAGCTTGGTTATGTAAAAATGTTTATCCAACGGCCTGATAATCTCACAGACGACATTAATTAGGCCAAATAAGAGTGGTTGGCAAAGTGAGACACATTTTAAATGCAAAATATATATTAGTTTCAGTTGAGTTAAGGTAGAGTATTTCGAAACTTAATATTTGCATATCTTTTATTACTCTAGATTTTTATATCGTCAAGAAATATAAAGTAATATTTTCATACGGCACTAACTATTTTACAATGTATATACCCTAAAAGTTAGAGTGCATTTATTTAGATGATTTAGTAAACATTATTTCCCTTGCTTTTTGCATGCTCAATAAAACTTGATTTTCCATTGTCAAGCAAAGCTAAATGCTTTTTGCATCTGTCGCCAATTAATTTTCAATTAATTCCAATAAGTATATAAGCAAAAACGTAGAAATTAATTAAACTGTAGCTACATATAAAATCTATAGAAATTTCTATTTCGTCTTTTTAATGAAAATTCCTAATAACTTATTTATGCCTTCACAAAAAAATTCTGCACAGATTTGTATGGATTTTTTTACGCTACGCTCTTGAAAGTGTCAAATACTTTACAAAAACTAAAGCCGTGTAAAAAAGTTAATAATTAATTTGTATAACGTCATGAAAGTGCAGGGAAAAAGTAATAAAACAAAGCAAACAAATATTGTGGGGATTAAATTAAGGCCAATAAAATCGATTTCGTGTGAAAATGTTGAGGTTGAATTCATGTTAATTATATATGATCATATCGGCAGCGTAAGTCATTTAGCTAATCATTTATTTACCCTTTAATTTGTTGCCAGTACTTTATGTAAAAATTTAAAATGTCCGCAGATGCATTTAAAACAATATAGTGTAGATTTCGGTGAAATGTCCTGTAAGGTATATATATTTTGTTTCGAAACTCAACTGCAAGGTCCTGTTTCTCACAGTTCCGGCCACTCCCATTTTTCTTGTGCCATCTAGAGGACCATTTTCTTTCGAGCCACAGGACTGGAGCCATTAAGTGCAATTGTATTGCGTTTTCGAGACAAAACACTCATCGCTTGTGTCCTTTGAAACTGCACGTACATATATAGTATAGAGGAAAAACATTACAACTAAAAACCAAAGTGTGAACATATTGAAAGGCTGGCTGCAGCAGGATTGCCATCGGAGGTTCCCACCATAAAATACCCATTGTAAATAACCTACGCATCGGCAAGGACCCAACTCGTCCTTCCATTTTACAGTAGCGACTGTTGCTCCTTGCAGATGCTGTTGTTTCTCTAGCTGCTTTCACTTTACACCCAGGCGAATAATTCCCATAATGTATATACCTATGCATATATGTATGTACATAGAGCTGGAGCTGCAAAAAATACTTCAAGTGTTCGCAATAAATTCCTTTAAAGCTTTTAAGCCGCAGCAGAAAGAGCTGGTGAAAAGGGCGGGCGAACAGTGGGTTAAGAGACCATAGGCGAGGCTCTGGAATTACTTAAAATGCGCTTTTAGGGTTAAGCTTGAGCACAGCCTCGCCTGCATCCATCATGAAGCGCTTAGGCACTTAAGCACTTCGGTTAGACCCCCGGGGCTGGGTTTTCAGGGCCATCTTAGAGTGCTACGTTTTTATGAGCCGAAGCCAAGGGTTTAAGTTGTATATAGGCATAGAACCATTTAAGGAATCAAATCGTAAATAAAATAAGTGTAATTTGTATTTAAACATTACCGACAAATTAAAGTTTTTTAGTCCAAAGAAGATACAACAAATTCAGAACTTTCTCCTCGATAAATTTTCATTTTCCTCGGCTAGGAACCTTTAAAATCAAATGTTGCCTCTATCCCACAGAATGGAGGTTCATAAGGTGGTGGTCTTTTCAACCAAAATTCTTTGCCCAATCAACTGGTCAATAAATCTATACCAAAGTTCAATCAATAACATTTGATTTGAATTAAATGCAATGTAAGTGAAGTAAATTTAACAAACAAGAATGTGTATACAACTTTTTAGACCACAGCGCAGGCCTTAATTGAGTTTACAAATGTGTCAAATGAGCAAAAATGTAGTAATGTTATACGAAACAGCCTTAAGGATTTCAGAATGTCAACGTGTTAATTGGCGCAATTGACATTGTTTTGATGCAACTAAAGATGCAATGTCACAAAACTTGCGTCTTAATTTGACATGAATGTATACTGTTACACAAATCAATGAACTTCACTGAAATGCACCTTTATGTTTTTAGCTGAATGAAAATTATTTCATACAAGGGTTTTTTTATATGATTCCTGAATCTAGCATTCCTAATTCCTAATTAAAACTTAAAATTACAGAGTGGATTAACCTTTAATATGGAAAGTCAGAAATCACGCTGTAATTAAAATCAAATATCAATTTCGACTTTTGCCAAATTTTCCACAATCCTATTTAATCCTTTCACACTTGCACACATGCACAAATGCCTAATATAATGAAACTTCAACATCCGATAGGTGACATTTCTCGACATCGCAAGGAACAATGTAAGTCTCAATGCATTTGCTGCCTTTGTACTTAATTGTAAATATTTTGCCACACACCTGATCCATATATATTTGTCTACACTGAAGAACAAAATGTAATATCTAAAGTACAAATTAATGTTTATATGTTAAAGTTAATGTACATTACAGACCAAGCAAAAAATTAAAAATATTTGTTTATAGTTTTTCCCTTACCTTATAATATATACACATGTTATAATTAAAAATTATAAATTCATAAATTATAAATGTTTTCCTAAAAAAAAATATTATAGTACTTATTTCAAGACGATAATGCTTATAAGAAAATTCTAAAGTATTTAAAATCCATTTTCTTGTGTTAGATTTCTCTCAATGCAATTCTATATACGCAAGTGTTTGTGTAAAATGATGTGGTGGGCTGCTCGAAGGACCTTGTTCTCCATTGATTTTGGCCCTAGGTGCTAAGATTACACAAATTGCAATTTATTTGTTTGGCCAACCGAAGCCAATGCAGGGAATCGCTTATATATCTGGCCACATCCCGTTCTCCTCCATGTCCTGCACTGATTAATATGTCTTCTGTTCTGTGTATTTGCCTTTGTGTTTATGTTTGCATTTAACTGGCAAACTGGATTGGAATCGCTTCGGAGGGCCGGTAACCACCCACTTCTCACCTGAACTCCCATCCTTTCGAAACGGAACCCGAGACCGGATTGTGATATGCATGACCTAGACAAATATTGTGCGTTTGCAAGCACTTTGTCATTGGAGCTACGGCTACAGCTACATCTAGAACTACAGCTACCCGGCACCAATGGACACATTTGTTATTTTGAAATATTTTGTTGATTTTGCCGGAGCAGAGAAGAGTTTGCAGCAAGGTTTCACATTTGAGGTTTTCATTTGGCTAAAAGCGGACACTGCTGCACAACCCATTTCTCATTTCCCTTCTTTCTTCGCCGCAGTGAGTGACACACTAATTGTCCTGCTTGTTGTGCCCCCCAGATGCATTCACCATTTGCAATTGGTTTAACCTGGCGTATGAGTGATTTAATATTGAATTATGGCTTCTGATTTATTTCGCATTCACAATCTGTAATGGATTTATGTCTTCGTATTTCTTCTCTAGCTGTGTCTTCTATTCCTCTGATTTCTGATTGCCAAAAAAAGAGGGCAGAAAAAGAATGTTAACGTAAATGCTAAAGCAATTGCAGCACATTTGCCGGACGGCACTTTGCCAAGAAAAATAAAGCCTTGCCTAGTTCTTGGCGCAGTCACCGAAATTACTGCTCTCGGGTGTGAACAAAATGCAAATATTACACAGCTCATTAAGCCTGAATTGGTTTTGGGATCCACGATTTTAGCGCCTCAAAAAAACTTGGCAACGTCGATTGCTTGAGCAAACTCAAAAGTGATTGGAAAAGTAAATATTTTCAGTGGGTTCGATTTTTGCACTAAAGTTAAAGTTTCTCATTCAATTTGATATAAGCTTTTTTCTAAATTTAAAAATACATAAAAAAATTTTAAATTCTGAAACAAGCCTATCCAAAATTGTTTCTCTTAATCTTGAAAGTTTTGATAAATATTTCTGCTCAAAAATCTTTGTAAATTTGTTTGTCTTTTATTTGAAATTTCAATCAAATGGCTATGCTATAAATTATATGTTTACTAAAGTTTATTTTATTATAATTTTAGAAAGATTTTCTTTTTGTTGTTTTAGGGAAAGCTAAACCATTAATCGGAAAATGAAATCTGTTTTCTGACTGTGATTTAAGATTATATTTTTACATTTTCTCTAAATTGTATAATTTAATCATAAGAAGCACACCTACACAAGGTAGCACCAGAAATCCCTATTCAATTGGCCTTCTCTTTCAGCCAGGTTTCCGAGGTCGTTTATTGCGGCCTCCAGTTAATTTATAATGCCCGACTTCAATGTTAATTTACGTTTAATGAATTTTAATTGGGCCCTTCCTAGTCCCAAAACCACAAACTGCCCGCGCTGCCACCCAACAAAATTGACAAATTACATTCGGTTCGCAGAGTCCCTTCTCTAAAGTGACGGCGAAAAATGGAGTTTGGCCAGGGCCCAGGACGTGAAGGACGAAAATGTCCTGGGCCTTTACCATTTCAGTTTATTTTGTCGACGTCTCTGTTGTTTGTTGTATTCTATTCTATTTCATTTTACTTTTTTTTTGTAGGCTGGTACGCTTGAAAGGTCTAAAATCGCGTTCTTTGTGTATGTGTGTGTTTTGGCCTAATCAAAAATTTCAAACACGTTTTATATTGGCAACGCAAAAGTCATTTATTCAATTTGCAAACCAGTTTTACGTTGCGTAATCTAATCAAAAAGGTTGCGACTCCACTAGCTGGCGATAGGCGGCTGAACAGGGTCTACAAATGTATATGGCACTATATGGAAGCCGCTATATGGAGGTCCTTTGGCCGCCTGCCAAAATAAGAGCCATGGGCCAAAGGGAAGGAACAGAAACAAAAATAAACAAAGTCACCAAAAAGTTCAAATGCCGAAAACTAAAATAGTGAAATGGCTGACGTCACGGGAAACATTAGTGCAACGCAGATTTACATCGGAAAAATCCATATACGAAAGATGGAGCACTGAAAAGCGATGCAAACATGTTATGAAAAGCATTACTCAATTAGGTTCTGTCTGTTGAAAACAGAAATTGAATTAAAATACTTTTTACGTTTGGACTAGGAGATAACAAAAAAATTCGTGGCTTAGTTTATAAAGTGCCTTTAAAACTTTTGAGCGAGCAGTTAAAGAAAATCTCTGTAGAGTATATGGAATCATAATCAGCACAAATACATTATCATAAGATTTTTTTTCATCTGGATTAATGAGAAATGTGCCTTCTTCGTAAACAGTCGTGAACTGTGATAAGAGATTTACAATGACCCTGAATTGTGGTGTTCTGATCTTGAATAATTTGCAAAAAGGAAAATGTAAAGTCAAAATACACATATTTTTAGCTTGATCTTTCCTTTGATAACAAAAGAATATGGTCGGGTAACTGAACTCAAAAGGTTAGGCAGGGTTTGTAAACCAACATCTATACTTGTGGGTACATCAATATATTATAAGCTCAAAATGAACTCATTAACATTTTCCATGGAAATAATATTTTCACATATGCATGAACAAGATTCCAAGTAAGCGAGAACCCTATCATATTTCTTAAGAATTGCAGTAATCTTTACTTTCGATTTCCTTATGAGCAACTGATAAAGCGGTCGGATCTGGCAGTTGCCTTATCAGAATGGTATAAATACAGTTCCCATTGCATTAGCATTCACAGTGTCTTCCAGCCTCTCAAGTTGAGTTAAAGATGTCGCCCAAATTCGCACTTGCAATCCTGCTTCTCAGCTGCGTTCTTCTGGGAATCGCCAATGCCCAGCAACAGTGGTACCCCCGCCAACAAACTTATAATCGCCCAAAGGTCAGTATATATGATAGTAATGGAATACACAGTTTAATGGAAGTGCATTAATGTATGATAGGTGGGTTCCCGAAACTTGGATGGAGGCGGCCCTTTACCGCCAAACTTCCCCCCACCATCCGGTGGACCTTTGGACGGAGGTGGTGTTAACCCGGATTGCATGCCCAATCAACTGGCCAGCGGCAATGTTGACAACAAGAGACCCAGACAGAGGCATTAAGTAGTGGGATAAACATATAACCCAGAATATGAACAAGAGCTTTATATATTCTGAAGGAACCTAATGAAATTGATTTGGAATTCGTTTAAAAAAATGTTTCGCTGGCAATAAACATCTTAGAAACCAATTTTAAACCCCATTTCACATATTTATTTTGTAAAATTTTTGGGGCTTAGAAACCTACACAGGAAAAAATCACACAAGGAACGAATTGATATTTGCATGGAAAATGTATTAATTATTTTTTTTCTCCCTTTGACCATTCTTTAAAATCGAAAAAAAAGGAAAATAGAACGAGATAGCGCCTAAAATTATTCTGGGTAAGAGAGCAATATTCGAAAATCACACAAGGAACCAAATGATTTTTGCATGGAAAATGTATTAATTATTTTTTTTCTCCCTTTGACCATACTTTAAAATCGAAAAAAAGGAAAATAGAACGAGATAGCGGCTAAAATTATTCTGGGTAAGAGAGCAATATTCGAAAACTGCAAAGTTGAGCTGATATCAAGATGGCAAACATACGAGTATCAAAGTGATGCGCCCTGTATCTAGATAAAACTGAATTTCCTTAAAATGATCATCATATCTTATCAATTTTTTAATCTTTGTACCATATGTCCGCATTTCTCGTGAATTTATTGTATGACGTCCAATTATTCCACACTATCCACTTAAATTTCGGCATGGCTTAAGGAAGTCCCTGGTGCCCCGACTGCGATAAATCGCAAAGCTCTTCCCCGGAATCGTGTGAATGCACTCGGCAACTGTCTGCTCTGAACCCATTCTGGTAGCCCATACCATTCCATTCCAGAGACAGGAATCGGGGGATCCACACCCTTTTGGACAGACGGACGTTGCCCGATTAGTGCTGCGAACATGAAAAACAGATATGCTAACGTGGCAAACAGCCGCAACAATCGGAGGTAGACCTGCCACGCCCACCTCAGAGCGCAAAGGGGCGTGGGGGGTTGGGGGCCCCGAGCCAATAAAGTGTTTAACATTTTCGTCCGTACATTTTAATGGGGAAATGAAACAATTTGGGGTGCCAACGATGGTGGCTGGTGGTTGGGGCGTGGCATCCACGCCTACATGCAGATTAAGCGCGCATTTAACAATTTTACGCTGCATACATTTAGGCGACCGGCGGCGGCAGCGAAATCCTCAGCCGGAGTTTCCATTCACTCGTTTCACTTGCTGTTGCATCAATAAATTAAATGCAGATTTCCATTTTCGTACATGCGATGTATACGAGGGAAATGGGGAGCCCAGCCGGCCCATCCAGCCCAGCGAACTCGGTTCAATATCGCCAACCAGCTCGGCAGTTAGGAGTGCCAGGGAAATTGTTGCATGCAGTTAATTATTTTGCACAGGTTTTTGTGCATTGCAACTTCCACTTGCCCCGGCTACTAATTGAAATAAAACATGCCCGCATCCCAGTTTAATTAAATAAGACCAAAAATGGCCCGACTTCAACTTCGGCTGGCAATAATAAATTTCACTTTTAATTGCTGCGGAAATTGTATTATGCCAGCGAGTAAGGTGAAATGTCATTTACCGATTGCCCCACCTTCGGTTTTAATCAACTTGATGCCCCACTTTTCCGCAAATCAAATGATGAATTCCACGCTCAAAAGGAAAACTTGGGCGGAAGGCGTTGAGGAGATTCTTCGTTACCATTTTGCGGCAGGCATGAAATTTTTGGACAACATAGACAACAGGAAACCAGCAGGCACTCAGAAAAATAAATGTCTAGTCTATATACTTAGTTCTTTCCAAAATTATTGTAGTTTTTTTTTTAATTAGAATTAATACAATCTATAATCTTTATAGAATTTATTAAAATAGTTTATCCGGTGACTTTTGAGGCTTTTTTTGAGAACCTGTCTTTGTTATTGCCAGTTAGTACATTTAGTGATCCACAGCAATTACCTTCTCCAGATGGGGAAAATGGAAATGAAAAGCCTAACGGTGGGGTTACGCCCCCAGAAGGAGGTCCAAAAACTGGAGGAAATCCACCACCAGAAGGAGGTCCAAAGCTCGGAGGAGGTCCAAATCCTCCAGATGGAGGTACAAACACTTGAGAACCCCTGATCCACCTAAATTTCTAGTACCAAAGGGCTGGTAAAAATATTTAAATTTGAATAAGATCAATCTAACCCTTTAAGGGCATATGCTTGCGTTCTTTTTTTGAACTGGCTATTGGGGGTACTGATACGGGTACTGGGCATTTCTGGTTCTCAGAAGAATGCTGCTAAGAAGCAGAACAATCAGTGAAAAATTATGCGACATCTTTAGCCTGGCGATAGAAACTACATACGTGTTATATATTATTCAGCAACGTATTTATACATTTTTGATAAGAGACCAGAAAGGCTAATCAGTTTTACTAAGAAAAAGTGATGAATTACATTGAACTTTATAATCGGTGGTGATTAATGGTTACAACACTTTCCCATTGAATCAAGAAAATTAGATAATGTTAATTATTGCATTTAGCATGAAAAAACTAGTGTTATATTATTGCAATCTGTATATACTATCTTTGACCAAACTATTTTAAGGATAATAAATTATAATGCATTTTTACAGTGCACTGAGGAAGGCGGAAGAGAGATGTATATCGGATGAACCCCAATCTGGATAAGGTCCATTCAAACACACACACAGATATTTGGCAAACTCTTGGGCTAACCAAATCCAATTGGCCAACATTCGTATGCGATTTCAGAAACCAAATCTGGTAATGGAAGGGTGAGAATCGAGACCGGACTATACGTGTGATAAATAAGGCTTTCAGGGGGGCGGCAGTGGGTCAGGGGTTTTCCTACCTCAACGTTGTCCGTTTACCTGGCAGCCATTTTGGCCCCCCAAAAAACTTTCAGCTACCAAACTCCAGTTGGACAACAATTTTCCTTTCGCCATTCGCTTTTGCATTTTTTCTGCTTTTTGTGTACTGGTTTTGTGGTCTCCGCTTTCCTTCGGTTCGGTTTCGTCCCCAGCTTTTAGTGAAATTTGCATTTTGCTTGATTTACGGAAAGATTTGAGGCTATTGCAACGCAACTTTGATGTGTGTATCAATTTAGCCAAGTGTTAAGGTTAAGGATTCGGATTGCATTCGTCCGGGCTCCGCTTGTTGTTTGTCCTGGCAAACATTTAGTTATTGCATAGTGGAGGTTTTCCCGAAAGCGTACCGTTCAAGGAGTATCTAAGGAAACGGATGGGGATGTACAAACGCTGATGGAGTGACCGCATAGATAAGTCAATTGGCATTGCATCTGATTGCAGGTGTTCTGGGTGGAAATGGGAATGAAGATGTCATGTTTGGCCATCTTTTCCATTTTCAGGACTTAAATAGTAGAGATATATTTCATAGTTTATTGGTAGCTTTTAGTTTGCTTTTGACTGATCAAAGCTAGAACCAAATTATGCAATTTAATTATAGATGGAGGTATTTCTCCTAAACTGATAAAAAAGAGTAGTAAGTCCAAAGATTTCATATTATTCTTCATATTATTCATTCATTGCGTTTTTTATAAATATAAAATTAATTATCAATATTAATTATAACTATTAAATTATAGTTAACGTTAAGGTTCTAATCATTTATTTTAATATGAAGTTCCTTTTTTTAGTGACGTAACATGTTCAATTTTAATATGACTAAAATTCTGTCTAATATATTCTGCCTTGATTAAAATGTTTTAAAATTAAATCATGCATTTTAACATTTTCTGCTTTAAATATTTCGCTTTTATATTTAATTCAAAAATGAATACAATAAATGTTAATGCCTATCTTACTTTCTATAACAAATTTTACAGTGTTGTCCTTGTTGTTCTGTAGTACCTAGTTTAATTTAGTTTTTGAAAATTATTATTATTATTATTTTCTGAGTTTAAATTGGTCCCACGCAACGAAACAATGGTAGGTTTATAAATATTTCTTAATACGTATTTAAGGAAAATTTCTTCGCTGTCTTCGAATTTGATTGTTCATGCTTAAAGTTATAGCTGGCTCTGATTATAAACCTTGGTACGAATCATTTTTTAGATACTCCACCCTAAATGCGCATTAATTCCGCCGAAAAAACGTGCCATACTTTGTGGCTGTAATTTGCTTGAGCGCTCTTCTAACGACTTTTCTCGCAAAAGTCATAACCTGCCAGGCAGACAAACGCAGACGAACAAGCAAACAAACAGACAAACAAACAAACGACTTAAGTGCAAACAATTAAAAGACAAACAGCTCAATGCCGGCTCACACCCAGACACACTGGCTAACAAACAGCCACACATGCGGATGCGCAAACACGGAATCCGCAGGAGTTGGATGATTTTTTGGGCGCGACAGAGGAAAAGTTTTTTCCGGCGGCTCAAAAGTCGAGCCATGACATCTGAGTCAGAGTTTTAACTTTAGGGGCTTCTCTTTTTTACACACTTTGGCAGCAGAGATTGTAAATGAGAAGTTTGGCTGAAAAGTTGGGGGATTTCGAGAAGGCAGTGTCATAGGCAAGTGGTGAAGTTACAGGACATATATGTGTGATCTCCTGGAGGATTTCGTAAAGCTTAATAAATTAGAAAAGCTCTTTTTTGAAAGATATAAAAAAAATAATAAAAAAGAAAAATATACATTGAATATAATTTAATAAAATATATATTGGATTTGAGAAAATTAGTAATCTTAAAAGAAACGTATAATAAATCGAGTCGTATTTTTTTCTTTGTTTATTTGTTCTTGAATAACTTACTTTTAATTGAATCAAATTCTGCGTCCTAAGTACCAAGATTTGCTTGAAATTTATGGGGGACCAAGTGTTAAAAGAGTGTTTTTGTGGAAAATATGCTTAGCATTTAAATGGTATTCCCCTTTTTCCATTTTCTCAACCGTCTTTAGAGGACATTCAGGCGTAATTTTCCGAGAATGCCAGCCTTTTGTTGTATTAAAAAACCACCTCATTTCACTGCATATATTAACGTGTGTAAAACGTGTCAGAATCCGGGACTGTCTCTTCTTTCGACGCTGTCCTTGTCTCCTCGGGCATGTCATTCAATCATTTCTAGAGGTGGAGCATCACAACACATTCCTGGTAATAAAATGCCCGACAATCTGGCTCGTGCTGGAATTTGGAATTTTGAT